GGATGCAGTAAACCTGGGGAAGAGTCTGTATGCCTTCTTTAGAGCATCACAGCTTGGCAACCCATTAGCCAGTGTTCTGCCTTTTGGAGTTACATTAGCAGAGCCATGTTCACATGGTTGAGGCCCCATTTCTGGCAGAGAGACAGATCCTCCTCAAGGAAGCCATAATGATCCATGCTCACCTTTTGGCCTCTCTATAGGCTTGGCTGGCAGATGCCGAGAGTAGGATGCTGAGCAACCGCCCTGACACAGTTACCCACTATAACCGCCACTTGGATCCTGCCAGTGCCCTGAACAACAACAACTGCTCCCATGAAAAAGACAGGTAAGCGCAAGCAGCCAAAGAAGAGCAACCAGGCATTAGAGCTTCTTTGAGGTTCCTAATATGGGGCTGAGACACTCGCACTGCAGGCCTAGCTGCCATGGTTCCTCAGGAGTAATCCCGGAAAGTGGTCCTGATCTGCAGGATTCCTAGGTCTTTCCTCGTGATCCAGCCAGTTGCTCTTCCTCTCGAGCAATCCTGTGTTTTCACTGAAGTTAAACTGGAATTGAAGGGAAAAGCCACATCCTGTCCAGGTTTGAGGTCACTTTTTTTCCCCCTTCCACAAGAAGCTGGAGACGGATTTCTTTCCCCTGACAAAACTTTTAACAGATAGTCCTCATTTAGCAATCACAGTTGGAACCAGCAACCTTGCAGTTACCCAAAGCGGTCAACAAAGTGAGAATCATGTGACCATAACTGTATGATTTTACTTCTGGCTATTTGTCTAGCACACACACACCATATAGGAGGCAAATAAAAGCCTCTAGAGCAGTCATGGCGGCGTCACGTGACATATCGCAATTCCCCCCCCCCCTTCGTTAAACCGGGCGTGGCCAGCGCATGAAGCACGCAGGTCGTGGATTTGACAGCCCTGCTCTAATATAAAACTGCTTATGGTCCTGTTGGTTTCAGGCAGCAGTTACCAACTATCTTGGGTTCTAATCCACTCACTCACCTACCCCCAATAATTAAGTCAGGGATGTGCTGTGTTGGAGAGAAAGATAGTGCACTCTGCTATAGGGAAGAAAAAAAGGTCAGGACCAAGTATTAACAGTGTAATGAAAGGTACCTGATGGAGGGAAAGACACTGCAGAGATTGTAAATGTGGGCATGAACATTGCAAGAGCAAACACAAGACGGTTGCTAAACAAGGACTACCTATTGCATAAAATGTCTCTGATGAGCCTGCACATAAAATAACCCCTAGCATATCCATTACCAGGAGATAGCATAAGATATAGTCCCCTGTTCTGAACCAAAGTTGGTTTGTCCTGTTAATCCCTAGAGTGCATCTATGCACGAGTGATATCAAGAAAAAAATGAGATTGATAGTCCCATCAGGAAGGCCAGTTGAAGCTTTCTTACAAGAAGTAATATTTTATCTTCACTATGATGGCATCATATTCGCTTTTGCCTATACCCTCCCTCCTGCAACTTGTAATACAACATACTCAATATTCGCTTTTCTCCTTCTAGCCCTGACGCTACTCATTCTAACGAGAGCCAGGACACACTCAACCAACCCATTTACACAGAGTTCGACGAGGACTTTGAAGAGGAATTGGCATCACCCATTGGAACCTGTGTGGCCATGTATCAATTTGAAGGTAGCATCTTAGCAAGCTTCTCCAGTTGCTGTGTTTGTGTGGAATAGCTGAGATCAGAGGCAAAACCTTTCTATTTCACCAGCTTAAAGGACTGTCTTGTGAAATACACCCAGTAGAATTATGTATTTATTCTTCATGTCTGCAATTTTGCTTGTCTTGGGGAAGGAGTTTAGATCTGTCACTCTTTCTGCCTCTCCCAGCATTATTTCTTAATCCTGCATTCCTCTCCCCCACCCCCCACCCCCATGCATGATTGGTTCTGTACCAAGAATAGATTTAAAAATCTGCAGTTCCAATTACTTATATAAAATAATTTGGCATTGATTTAATTAATTAGATTTAGACACTGCCTGAGTCCAACCAACTCTGAGCAGAAATGTGTTTTAAAAAGAAAAGATATTTGGGTTTTTAAATCCCAACCTTTCACTCAAGATGTGAGGTAATCATTCTGGCTGACATTCTTAGCCATGTACATATCTCACTTTTATGGGAGCTTAATGGTAAGCAGGCTTCTGTTCAGAAAAGCAGTCACAACTGCATTGTCCAAGCTTCAGCATGAAATAGCCCAAAGCTATTCACTAGTCTTGCCCAGACTATTTTTTAATTGTACTGTTTTTACCACAAAGGATTGGGGATCTGCTTTTCAAAATACCTAATAAGGAAAGCTTGCGTCCTCAGAAGACACAATTATATGGGTTTGGGGTTTGTTTGTTTTTTGCTGCGTGTATGTGTTATTTGCACCATGCCATGCCTTTCAGTATGTCAGTAGTCCTTTTTCTCCAAAGAGCAATTGCTTTCTCCTAGTCTTAACAGTATGCTATGGAGGGAGTAGCCTCTAAGTGTGTCTCTTTTGTTCCACTCTTGGGCCATGATGGTGATAGCAGTAAAGGCCACAAAGGCGAGTGTTAAGTCAACAACAACAATAATTAATAATAATACAGGGCACAGTATTCATTTGATCCCTTCCTCGGCATCTTTGTTAATGTAATTTTTTCCATCCATTGTAATAAACAGCTCAGTAAACTGCTAGCAGCAGGGAAACAGTTTTGAGTTAAAAAAATATCAATGCCTGAAATTTTGAATTGGACAAAAAGTATTGCTTACTCTATGAAGGGCTCTGCAGCTCCTTAGTCTGGTTCACATCCTGCTTTAAAGCCTTGGTACGTCATTCACCCATCCACCCTCCCAATTCTGCCCTGGCAACTGCTCCATACTCTGATGGTCTGAACAGTTTTGCCTCACAGATATTCTTGGCTGCCTCTAACGATCTAATCAATGCCCTTGCTCTTTTTTTTTTTTTGCTTCCCAAAGGTTCCAGTGAGGGCACTATCTCCATTCAGGAAGGTGAAGAGCTCAACTTGATGGAGGAAGACAAGGGGGATGGGTGGACACGTGTACAAAGGCGTAGCAAAGGGGGCGAGGGTTACGTCCCTACCTCCTATTTGCGACTGAGTGTGAACTGAGTAGGGGACTGACAGCCAAGTTCCAAGAGCTGCACCAACATCAATGTCTGAGTGGAAGAGGGGTGGAGTTTCAGTTGCCTGGAAACAGCTCCATGATGTTTGCTCTGGGTGAGATGGTAAAAGAAGGAATTTGCACCAAATCACTACTGCAAGACAAGAACTGACTAGCAGAATAACAAAACGATGGCTGTAGCCAGCTGAAAGCAAGGCCTCGGATGGGAGTACAAGAGGGGGTTGACTTCCAGCTAGTAATTGGTCCTCCTTTCCTCTATTATCTTCATGGCAGAGTTACAAAATATTCCAAAGGAAATACCCTTCAGCCAAAGTAGATAAAAATGTGCGATTTTGCATACAGGAAGATTCCTGAATTCATGGCTCTGGACTGTGGTAGTTGCCCCATCAGATGAAATGTGGCTGCGATAGCAGAAAGGATGTGGTTCCTATTTCAAGTGCAGAGCTGGCTGTCCCTCCTCTCTTTGTCAGGTTGGTCAGAGCAAAGGGCTCTCTCCAGAGAAAAGCATCTGCTTTTATGCTTCGTTCAGTAGACTGAAGCCTCAAGGGGATTGTGGGTGCTTGGGGACTTGGGATATGTGTGTGTGTGTGTGTGTGTCCATATTCAAGGAGGACACCGGGTTGGATTAGAAGCCTGGAATGTGTATCCTTAAGATTGCTGCTATGCCTGTTGTCTGACCAGAAGCAGAGAGGGGGACAACAGATGCTGGGCACACCAGTCACCCCCCACCCACCCCTAGTGCTACTTCAGTTAGATGCACGTGTCACCATAGCCTTCTTGTCTGAGGGCAGGCTGAAGGCGCCAGACCAACATCTCTCTATTCTTTCCTTGAAATGCACTTTATAGTTTTCTTGGATTTGATTAGCCTGGCTCTGTCAGCCGTTCAAAAGTGCCTGTGCCAGAGTCTTTGGGTTTGTTTCCCCCCATGGGAATACGTTACATGAGAGGCAAAAGCAGTTGGCTCTGGCCTCCTAATCCTCCTCTCCTGTCCCTGTTTGTTTTAAAGAACACTCTGATGTATTCTTAGTAGTTTTATACAGCAGCCAATTTATTTTACCATTCAGTTTGACATGTTCACATAAAACCTCTAACATGGCCTCAGCTCTTATCCCTCCAGCCTTGGAAGGAAGGGGCCAAAATTTGCCCGTCCCTTCTCTCTTGAGATGCAGAATGTATTTCTGGGTGCCTTTTACACTTTATGTAAATAGTAGAGGGGACATTAATTAGCGGATGCCTGTGCAGTTGCCTTTTTGTCCCTCTGACCTCCAAGCGCGGACTTCTTAACATCTGCAGCATTCACATCACTGTTGGGGAGCTAAAGGAAGGTCCTCTACCTTTCCGGTTGTGTACAGTTCATCACCACACCAAATGGGGGAGGAAAAAGCAGGAGGCAAGTGCCACAGGAAGCCAAGGCAGCCAACAGTTCCTGCTTGCTGCTGCTTGCCTATCCATAGAACAGCACATAGTGGGTGCAGTGTGTGTGGGAGGGTGGGGGGAAGGAGAAAACAGGTTTGTCGTCTTGACACTGGACCTATTGGTAGATCAGTTGGGGGGATATTCCCTTCACCTCCACTTGTGCTTAACCAGGCAGTGCTTTTGTGCAAATGTTGTTTGTATAGATCTGGAGAGGGGCTGTCCGAGTACTGTCCACTTGGATTGGAGGTGGGAGGGGGGGGGGAATGCCTTACTATGGAAGTAGTATATGCATCTGCTGGTCAAATAAAAACCTAAGAACTGCACTGCATCAGACCAAAGACTCCTCTAACATTGTATTCTCTTCCCATTGTGGCCAAGTAGAATGATCCACAACAGTAGCAATACTTTTCTGTTACATGTTCCTCAACAAAAAAAGAAGATGATGATGCGATGCAGTTAGCCATGGGTAACCTCATGCTTCTTCATTAAAGTTATCCAAGTTGGTGGCTGTCTCTGGATCACAGGAGAAAACAGGATTCCACTGTGAATTTTGTTTGAAGTCTTTCCTTTGTTGTGCCTAATTCTTCAATGCCTGACTTTGGGTGCTGGGAGAAACCTTTTATGGACCTCCGCTGGTGGTATATTAAAAGGGGATACATATAAGCTTTCTCCCTGCTTGAGCTTCTCTCAAGGTCTTGTATAGGTCAGGGAGAAAACCCTTCTTAAGACAACCTCTGTCAATAAAAGTACTTTTCTCAAGTACTCTTCAAGTTGAAGGGAAAAAGACTGATGGCAAGTTTCTTTCCATGTAATACATGAATCATACTTCGAAAAAGGAATAAATATTATTTGCAGATTTCAACTCTGCATAATGGACTCGTAACTACAAAAACAGGAAAAGTATTCCAAGTGAGGAAGCTTGCTTTTCTATTCAGGATGGATTCTTGGACTCTTCTAACTTGGATATTAACGCATTTAAACTTTTGGGTGCAGATAACAATCCTGGAAGCTGTTATTTTCTGGTTTTGGGGTCTGTAAACCAATGCTGTGACATTTCTAAATCCGGCAAGAATAGGCAGAGAGCAAAGTTATTTTTATAGCACAAACTGATTAAAAACCGTCCGCTACTTTCTTTATTGCAGGCTGGCTCCTTTGCATAGGTTAAAAAAGTTTCCAGATTGCTTCTTTCCAAAGCCCTGCCCCCCTTGATCTAGAAGGAATGTCTACCCCAGGAGTTCCTCCTGCTCGTTCATTCCTTGGAAGGCCTTCAAAGTTCAGCCCAGTCAACGTCTTAATCCTGACACTGGGTGACGCTTTACTGCTTACTAATCATCTTTGCCACCCTTGCTTTGCATTCCAGCTGGCCTGGCAGAGGGCGGATGGGGAAATACTTCTCCCATGAGTTCACTCTAGTTTCTGAGAAAGCACAGTCAAGATCCGTTCAAATTTCTTGTATCGTTCGCCCCGTTCCGCCTGCGCTCCTTTACTTCCCCAGAATAACCGAAGGGAGAACTCCGTCTGAAATGCTTCCAGGAGTTCTGGGGTGCTCTTGAATTCTGAGTGGAGAAAAGGGTGTAAAAAGGAAACATCAGCTGAATTCCGTAACCTCAATCAGTACCACACAGAGTGCCCATCCTGGTGCTAGCTAACTCTCTTCTTATCTGCATCACCTACCAGTGGGAAATGAAAGCCACACATACCAGATTCAGAATAAGGCTGAACAAAAAGGATTAGTATAGCCAATGTGAGTACAGTCAGACCTGGTTTTGTGACAGCTAAGCCCAGAATTTTGGTGATAGGTTGCGGTGGTTATAAGTCGAGTCATCGTATGATCAGACTCGATTTTATGACAGTCATTAAATAGGTCACAATGGTTAAGTGAATCATGGGTTGTATGTCCAAATCCAGCTTGTCCAGTAAGCGAGCCAGTTGTCAAGCACCTGAAATGTGATCACATGACTCTGGAGATGGTGGGGCAGTTGTAACTTTGAGGACAGGTTATAAATTAACTTTTCAGGTCCCTTATAAGTGACTAATCATACCTTGAGAACTATCTGTATAACATAATTCTTTTACTCGAGAATAACATAATGACCACCACAACAAGGCTGGGTTTAAACACCAAGATAAGCTATAAAATGACTTAATTTAGAGATCAGGAATGTAATACTCACAAATACTATGCCACTAGATGCCTCATTTTTAATAATAAAGCAACTGCAAAATTAAAATCAACCATCTCATGAAATTCTAATCAAGAGTTGAAGGATGTATGTTTTTAAAGTTTACATCTGGCCAGCCATAAAATCTAGTTTATGGCTTGCTATGTCATGGAACTGCCATTATGGTGCACTGTTCTAAGGTGGCACAAAGATAAACTCTTAGAAAGCCTTTGCTTGAGACACTAGTTTTGCTTAGCAAAGATTGAAAAGTGACTCAGAAAGGTGTGCAGTATTCAGATATGAACTAAGCAAAGGTGCTTTTCCCTTATGGTATGAGCACTGTTGCCACATCTCTCTGGTTTAAGAAGCCACACCTTTTTTGGCATTTGTGCTGCAGCTCTTCAGGCTTGAGAAAACACATCCAAGGGGGTGTGACAGGATGTGACTGTGTCACCACCTGAACTCAATCGGGCATTTTCCTGAGCCACGCCACTACAAACCCAGGAAAAGGCGAGTCCTTTATGGAGGAGGCAGCCGGTACAGTAAGAATGCCCACTTTGGATCTGACTGCTGCACACTTCTAATAAATCATACTGCATGCCGAGCATTTTACTTTCTTAAAACTACAGTGGGATTTGCAACTTTGGCAGCAGAGCTGGGAAAATAAGAGTGTGCGTAAGGCAGCCCCACTGGCTATCAACCATGGGGTTCCCAGCCAAAGATCTTTGCAATGTTTAAGGGGCAAACCTTTACTTGAGGCACCCATCCACTGGCTAATCACCAATCCTATCCAGTGTGGTAGGAGCAGGATAGAATTAAAACAAGATATTTTGAGCCACTCGTAGTGCAGAAGTCATCCAGCTGGTACAAGTTGTGCTGCTGCTTTTAGAGCTGGTGTGCAGCACAGCCTAGCCAAGATTAGCTGTTAATAAATCACTGCTGGGTCATATTTCCATCACCAAAATAGTTACAAATTTCAGATGGGTGGACTTTTCATTGGTTAGAAACTTATCCCAGCTTTTATTTAGTGACTCAAGGCAGAATGCATAAGGCTCCTCTTGATTTTCTCTCCACAACAACTTTGCAAGGTAGACTGGACTGAGAGGATAGCCCAAACTCACTCAGTGAGCTCCTGCAGCTGAGAATGGCTTTGAGCCTGGCTATTCCCAGTGCAGTCCACCACAACAGTGCTCTGACAGCTTCCTTCTGGGCTGCTATTCACGCACGTGTATTCCATGCATGGGCGAAGGGGAATGGATGCGCTCTAACCAATCTGAACTGAACAATCTGAACAACCAAGGTAGATAGAAAAAGCCCAGCTCTCACTGCCAAGAGCAACCCTACCTTGAAGTCTGGCCTCAGCCCTGATGCGATAAGCGCCAGTGTTGGTGGCAACAAAGCGAGCTGCTTCCAGCGTCCGCAGGAGGACATCACACGTCTCCTCATTGTCGTCCCATAGTTGCTCTCCTTCCATGAGACTGAGAAGGGGCAGGATATGAGGAACTGCTACCTCCTTTGGGGAGAAGACAGAATTCCCTGTAGGGCACAGACAATGGCCTTTTGGATCACAGATGGAATTAGAGGTAGTCCTTATTTAACAACTGTTCACAATTACAGCTGTAATGTAGCCCGCATTTATTATTTTGACAAATAACTTCAGGCAGCGGATTATCCAACACACCTTCCTCCTATTTTCCCCACAACAACCCTGTGAGGTGGGTTGGGCTGAGAGAAAGCGACTGGCCCAAAGTCACCCAACTGGCTTTCAGGGCTGGGACAGGACTTAACTTATGATCTGCTTTCTAGCCTGATGCCTTGACCACTAGACTGGCTTTGCAACCAATCCTCACATTTATGACCTTTGCAGTTTGCAAAGCAAAGGAAGGATGAAGTAAAATCAAAAATAGTTTTTGCTTCACTTAGCAGCCATTTTGGTTAACAACTGAGTTATCAGTCTCAATTGTGGTCGCTAAATGAAGACTAAACATTTTAGGGGAAAGCCTGTAAGCTGAGAAAGTGTGATTTAATTCAGTTTAAGGCATATTTTTTATTAATTAATAATCAAATTTACATAGCCACCCATCTCACCAAAGGAAACCCTGAGTGACTTGAACATTTTCCCAAGGTTGTCCCTTTATTAGTTTAGATGCTAATCTCTATAGAGAAGTCTGACTGATGCAGAACTCACCAACTTTTGGCTGCTTACTAGACTGGGGTCAGAAAGTTCGGAAAGCAATCCTGCTGAGAGGAGTGCATTCATGTATCATCATGGGCAGTCTTTCAAATGCTGGTCCATTGCATAAATGGACCCTAATCAAATGGCAGTTAGATTTAAACAGCAAAGAAGGAAATTCAGGCCAGACATCAGGAGGAACATCTTGACTCTGTCAGCTGTCAGCCAGAAGAATAAGCTGTCACATGAAGTGATAAGTTCTCCATCACTCTAGAGCAGGGGTCTCCAACCTTGGCAACTTTTAAGACTTGTGGACTTCAACTCCCAGAGTTCCTCAGCCAGCAAAGCTGGCTGAGGAACTCTGGAAGTTGAAGTCCACAAGTCTTAAAGTTGCCAAGGTTGGAGACCCCTGCTCTAGAGGTCTTCAAACAGAGGCTAGAGGTATATCTATCAGGTATATCTAGCAAATTCTACTCTGAGGATTGCTTGGACTCTACAGTCCCTTCCAAATCTTTGACTATGAAAAATACCACACTCTAGACCAAGAGTCTTCAAACTTGGCAAGTTTAACATTTGTGGACTTCAACTCCCAGAATTCCTGAGCTAACATGACTAGGGGAGAAATTCTGGGAGTTGAAATCCACAAGTCTAAAACTTGCCAAGTTTGAACCCAGCTCTACACCCTGGTAAGAAGGATTTTCAGTTAATAAGAATATATAAACTTTGGCACCCTTATTTACCTTAAAATAGCAATCTGCTCACTCTGGAACAAGTGTATATGACTTTCCAGATACACTAAAGCTATTCTGACTTAATTAAAATAGTCCAAGAACTCTCAACAAGACTGCCCAGAGTCGCCTCTAAACAAGACACATAAATAAATTAAATCCTTCTTAAATTGCATTTTAGGGCTATCTCTGATGCAGGTACAATTCTGCTGGAGGCATTCTTAGGAGTGACTGCAAGATCAAACTTTGAGTGATGAAATAAGTATCTTCTCTAAAAGACAGAAACTCCCAAAGCAGGACACTGCATTCAAGAAGGAAAACAAACCACCCTTAACTCCAAGCTCTGCTCATATTATTTTTTGTTTTGAATTTTCTGGAATGGGAATGGATGCATGCAACTTCAAATGAATTTTAAAAGGGGTAAAATTATTTTAAAAGTGGTTCAATGAATATTTAATATACTTACTAAGTAGCTCATAAAAATGTTTACAGTCTATAGGAGTGTTTCCAATATTACATGGAAGCTCCCCTGATGATATACCATGGAGCAGTTGAAGTCTAAACTGACTTCCCAACACTTCCTACATCTCAACCCTAAGTAAAATTGTGTCCATGGTGCACAAGATGGTGCTTCAAAAGGTTGCTGACTTCTGAGCTGCTCATGGAAATAGAGCAATGCACCAGAAGCTCTACGCAGTTGTAATGATGAGTTGGCCAGAATGATTGCAAGGCCCTACCTTCAGCCCGGTTCAGATTCCCCAACAGAGGCTTGAGCTTCTTCTCATAGACGATGGCGCTTGCGGTGTGACTCTGGCGCAGATGCCTCCATGTTTGCTCCAGCCGGGTGATCTGCAGATTCAAAAACAGGAGAGAAGTATAATAAATAGAGCTGCCTCCAGAACCTCTGGGGTTCAGAGTGGAATTACTGGCTCGGCCAGATACTTAAGTGCTCCTTTAATAAAGAAAGAGAGAGGGATATAAATATTTACATTTCAGTAGATTCGATGCATTCCATCCTTCGTTTTAACAGCAACATGTGGACTGAAGCCAGAGCTAGCTTTCTTAGGTGAGCTGCTTCTGATCAAGTATCTGAACTCAACCTATACTTTTCCACCTTTTTTGTGTGGTGCCTCTTAGGAGCACAAGGCTAACCTGGGCTTTGGCTTTCCTCCCACACAAGCCCACCCACCGCCACCCGCTCACCTGTGGCAGCTGAAGTGCTTTCATCACAGCAGAGAAGGCAAAGAGGTCGCCAACTGGCCTCCATAGCTCCACGGCTAGCTGGATGATCTTGTGGAGGGTGGCAGCCCGTTCAGCCACTGACCCTGTACAGCCCAGGATGTCCACAGCAATGCCCAGAGCTATAAGATGGTGCCTGAGGATGGAAAAAGAAAACACAAGAAATGACGGTGCTGCTGCAACTCTCAAATACATTCCGGCACATTTTGTCACTACCATCTGGAAAGAGTCTCACTCAAAAGTAGTAACAGGATTCCTACTTGCTACTTTACTGGCAGAACAGAAGCCAGGAATTGGGCCAGACCAGTTTTTCCATGTCAAGCTGACATGCAAGATCCCATCTGAACTAGAGGAATATCTTCTGTCCCTCGGTCCACAGCGCAGGACCCTGAGATGCTCTGCTGCAGAATAATGCACTAGTTAGGCCTTTCTTTGTATACAGTGTTAAATAGATTTGATTGGGAAAAGCTGTTCATCAAGCACTCATAATCCCAGAAAATAAGTTCTCAAATTGGACCTTGGAAGGACTAGCTAGCTTTCACCATCAGAAGATTCAGATTAACAGAGTTAGAAGTGAACTTGTAGGTCATCTAGTCCAACCTCTGCCCGAGCAGGAGATCCTGCACTATTTCTGACAAATGGCAGTCCAGTCTCTTCTTGAAAGCTTCCAATGATGAAGCTTCCACAACTTCTGAAGGTAATCTATTCCATTGGTTGATTGTTCTCACTGTCGGGAAGTTTCTCCTTATTTCCAGGTTAAATCTCTCTTTGTTCAATTTCCATCTATTATTCTTTGTCTGGCCTTCAGGTGCCTTGGAAAATAGTTTGACCCCTTCCTCCCTGTGGCAGCACCTCAAATATTGAAAGACTGCTATCATGTCTCCTCTGGTCCTTCTCTTCACTAGACTAGCCATGCCTAGTTCCTGTAACCGTTCTTCATATGGTTTAGTCTTCAGTCCCCTAATCGTCCCAGTTGCTCTTTTCTGCACTCTTTTTAGAGTCTCAAGATCTTTTTTATAGTATGGTGACCAAAACTGGATGCAGTACTCTAAATGTGGTCTTACCAAAGCTTTATAGAGTGGTATTAGTACCTCACTTGATCTTGATTGTATCCCTCTGTTAATGCAATTTAGGATTGCATTGGCTTTTTTGGCTGCCACCACACATTGGCTCATATTTAATTGGTTGTCCACTAAGACTCCAAGATCCCTCTCACGGTTACTGCTATTAAGCCTAGTTTCTTCCAGTTTATATGTGTACTTTTGATTTTTCTTTTCTTAGTGTAAGACTTTACTTTTCTCTACACTGAACTTCATTTTGTTAGATAGGGCCCAGTGTTCAAGTCTGTCAAGATCCATCTGGATCTTGAGCCTATCATCTATTCCTGCCAGCTTAGTATAATCTGCAAATTTGTTAAGTTCCCTTTCTATTCCCTCAGCTAAGTTGTTTATGAAGATATTGAAAATTACTGGGCCTAAGACAGAACCTCGTGTTACCCCACTGCTTACTTCCCTCCATGCAGACTTAGACCCATTAAGGATTACTCGTACAGTGTCAGCCAGTTACGAATCCATCTGGTGGTAAGGCTATCTATCTCACTTTTTTCTAGCTTACCAAGAAGTAGGTTGTGGTCTACTGTGTCAAATACATAGCTGGTCTAGGTATATTACGTCCACAGTATTTCGCTGGTCTACTGATTTAGCCCTATCTCGAAGAATGAAATAAGATTGGTTTGGCATGATCTGTTTTTAACAAACCCATGCTGACCTCTACCGTGTTTCTCCAACAATACACCGCCCCCCAATAGGAAGTATGTTTTCCAGGCATAAAATGAAATTAAGCCCCTCCCCCCAAATTTAGGCCTAGTTTAAAACATGTGAAATTGGGCGGGAGAAGGCAGGGGGGAACTTGCCATTAGGAGTGCCCCGCAGGCATCTACGCCTCACCATCAGCCGCTCCTAACAGCCAATCATGGTGGAGCACGGAGGGTTCCTTACCCCCACCAAGCGCCTTTGCTGCAGACCCAGGTCAGCAGGCGGGCGGTGTCAGCGTGGATGTCCGGCAGTGTTTCAGCCGCTTCTCAGGCCTCCATAGCTTCCACGGTTCCCGCTGCTGCTGCCGCTGTTATTGGAAACGGTGCTGGCGAGAGAGGGACAGCTGCAGCTCGACCTGGGCGCTTAGAATGCAGGAATGGGCTGCACACCGGGACTTTTGCAAACTTGCAGAGCCCAAGGCTGGAGCACCAAGGGTAGCAGCAGCAGAGACGCTCACTCAGCTCTTTTCACACTCACCCAGCCACTTGGGATGAAACCAAAACGCAGCGTGTGGCACTCCCAGGTACCTCAAAATGTTTTTTTTTCCTGTTGTTATGGGGATGGGGGAAAAGCAGGAGCAACTCAGACGCTGTTGTTGGAGACGGCACTGGCGAGAGAGGCGCCAGCACCGGTGGGAACTGTGGAAGCTACGGAGGTCTGAGAAGTGGCTGAAACGCTGCCGGCAGACATCTCCGTCTGCCCGCTGACCCGGGTCTTCAGCGCTTGGTGGGGTAAGGGAGCCCTCCGCGCTCCACCATGATTGGCCATTAGGAGTGGCTGGTGGCGAGGCATAGCTGTCGACGGGGCACCCTAGGCGAGGGTGCGTGTGGGGGAGAAAGAAATTAATTCACCCCTGAAAAGACATCCTAGCCGTTTTTTCGGGGCTCAAAAAAAAAAAATAAGACCCAGCCTTATATGAGAATCACGGTAGTTATTTCTGGATGTTGGCAGATCTGTTCTTTTATTATCTTTTCCAGGATCTTCCTGGGTATTGATGTTAGGCTGATTGGTCTGTAGTTTCCAGGTTCTGTTTTTTTTCCTTTTTTGAAAATGGTGAACCACATCAGCTCTTTTCCAGTCATCTGGTAGTTCCCTGGTGCTCCAGGATTTTTGGAAGATGTGGTACAGTGATTCAGAGATTACCTCTGCCAGCTTCTTTGGAACTCTGGGATGCAATCCCTCAGGTCTTAGTGATTCATCAAGATCAGTTCTCTTACCATTTTATTTCTTATTTTAACTTTTATTTCTAGTCTGTCTTTTACAATTATGTTTTTGGTAGGTTGGGCTATAGTTTCTTTTGGTGTGTGATCCACAACTTGAACACCTGCAGGCTAAGGAGTGGATGAAGGGAATAGACAGAACCATTTGCATCTCCCTCATTTTGCTTAAAGGGGTTTTTATTTGCCTGCTCCAGGCTGATCTAATACTATGCAGGAAATATGGCCAGAGGGGAAGAAAGGCCACCAAAGCACAGTCAGCAGTCAACTATGAAGTGGCCTCCTCAGAATTAACCTTTGTCTTCAGGACTTTATTCTCTGCTCTCCCGGAAAGTCCTTTATTTTTAATTTTTAATTTTCTATACCACTAAATAGAAAATTGATTTCTATACCATTAAATCTTCAGAAGACTCATAATGTGTTTGCAACTATGCTCTAAACATTTGTTATACAAAAATTAAAAATAGTGACAGTAGGTAAATTAATTAAAATAAAATGAAAACAATTACAGAAAGCAATAATTAAATTGCAGATAGTCCTTAACTTACAATAATTTGTTTACTGACCATTCAAAGTTACAATGGTCCTGAAAAAAGTAACTTACAACTGGTACCTGCACTTACAGCTATTGCAGCATCTCCAGTCACACGATCAAAATTCAGGCGCTAGGCAATTAGCATATGTTTACAATTGCAGATTCCTGGGATCATGTGATCATCATATCTAACCTTCCCAGCCAGCATCTAACAAGCAAAATCAATGTAGGAAGCGGGATTCACTTAACAATCCCATAATTCACTTAACAACTATAGTTATTCACTTAACAGCCTACCAAAAATGTCATAAAATTGGCCATGATTCACTTAAGAACCACTTGACTTAGCAATGGAAATTCTGGTCTCAGTTGTGGTCCTAAGTCAAGAGGTTTTACTCTGCTAATTGTAGCCAACTTCAGGCGGCAGTGCTTATCTCTGTTTCTTTAGGCTATTGAGCCAGCGCTGTCTAAAGACAGCAGGCATGTGGCCAGCATGACATCACATTGCAGCACAGAAAGTGTAGTGAAATATGGAATACTGTTACCTCCCCACCAAAGTTACTATTTATCTACTTGTGGATTTTCAAACAGCTAGGTTGGCAAGAGCTGAGGCAAGTGATGGGATCTCATTCCGTCACATGGTGGTAGGACTTGAACCAGCAGAGCCACAAACCTTCTCCAGTATCTTTTAAGCCACTGAGACACTGCCCCTCTACATAAATTGAGGACTACCTGTAATTACATATTAGTCTTTAGTGAATTGGCACCTACAATACATCCTCAGGAGGCAAGCAAGCACGTTCTGGAGAACACACACAGATATTGTACACATCATTTCACAACTTCTTCTCTGGCGCCTACCAGCCACCACAGAACTTTAGTCAGTACCTTTCCAGCAAGTCCTTCCGAAACTGATGCCCTTGAGGCAGGGTTATAAGCTCCAGACCCGAGCTCACCCCCATGGCCCGCTGCTGCTCTTTAGATACTCCAATGATCCTCAACGCCTGTAGAGGAGATATGGTGTATTTCAAAAGACGTTAGCATTTAAGCCAACAGTTGTTTCTTATATCATCTCCGTTTCACCCTTGAGGGGAATTTTTCTTGTGGGCTGAATCAATTATACTTTCTACGACAGCAAGTCATTTTAGCAGGAGAGCCAAAGGGCTCAGAGAGTCAGCTGAGATAGAAATCCCCAAATCCACATCATATTCTTTCCAACATGTCAGAACCAGGTAGCAGATTGGAGGGGGGGAGGGGAGACACACATCTGAGGAAATTACTTTTAACTATTCTATAGCTGGAAAGATCTGTAACCCAATTCTTATTTCAATGCTGAAAAAAAGGAGCAAGGCAACAAAAGTCACTTTTTTCTTTTTTTCTTAAATAGAAAAGGATTTGTTTTCCCTGCTACTATGTTCCTACACAATACTGTTTCCACCATCATCCCTATTAAAATTTCAACTGAATGTACTCTGATGACTTCTTTTCAAATCCTTTTCTGAGAGGTTCCCCGTTTTAGATTAATTTACTTTTCTAGCTGAATCTGGAAGAGCTAAACAGAAATTACAAATAAATAAGGGTGCTGAAGAGGCTAGAGTGAAATTAGGGATTAAAAACTTTCTGCTCAGACATATTTGTTTTAAAAAAAGATATACCACATTTTAGCTCTAAGGATTGCTTGTATCGACCTCATTATTATTTAGTGCAGGGGGTTGGACTAAAAGCCCTGCAAGTTCCCTTCCAATTCTGTTAATTCAGGCTGCTCATAGATTTCTGATTATTCCAACCTGCAAATTACCACCTCTTTCGTTTATGATAGTTTTGCCAACCAGGATGAGGAAAGCACAAAGATGCTTTTAGAACCCCCATTATATGTGGGCATAAGTGAATTCTGGAATGGGGGTGACGTTAATGTTTCTTAACAAAGCAGAGTTTATTTCTTGGCTTACATGAACCACAAAACAACTCTGTCAGATGTAGGCTGTTGGAGCTCCCTTGCAAAAACTGTAGGCCCACTTAAATCTATCAGAGCCTAAGCAAGCCCTCTGTGGCCCAGGGTAAGCATTTTCTCCTGAACAATGGAAAAGGAGCCCCATGATTCTTCCGGATCAGCCCATGAGCATTCATAAAACTAGGAAATGGTAGTAGTTCAAATTCACTTAACAAAAGGCCCAGGCCTGCATCAGACACTGTCTCATGCACAGAACTCCTAACCCAAAATGCCTTAGAGTTAGCTCTCTAACACGGGAAAGGGAATCTCTCCGGTAATAGTCAAGCAGATCAGCTAGCCACAACCAGAGTACAAGTCCTGGCTCAGGTCAAAATACAACTGTACAATCATCTATTAAATATGAATAAATGCAATCCATGGTAACGGAGGCAATTGGAGGTCACTAAAATAATATTATATAAATAATAGTCTTCTGTGGCCCTCACCTGGCAGTCCATTTTTAAAACGTGAAGGGCTGTTGTGTGGCAATCATGAGTAGCAAAAATGTCCTTGAGGTGCTGGAGTGTGCCCGGGTCCAGGGGCTTGTTGTTCGGGGTCAAAAGCAATGAGTTAAAGTGCTGAAGCTGGAAGGAGGAAACGGTCTCTAGCAGCGGGCGCTCAAACCCTGGTTCCTCTTCTGTCTCCTCTGACTGGGGAGAAGGGAAAGGAGCTTCAACAGAGTCCAGGAAACCAAAAGCAGTCTCTGTAATGTGAGCCCGGCCACGCCATCTCTCTTCCGTCTGCAAGCGCTCCACATGGCTTCGGGGCCCCTGAGGAACCTTAGGAACCAGTTCACAGTAGTCACTCATCAGCATGGAAGGGGCCCTCAGGGGCTTTGGGGGAGCTTTGGAATGAAGCCGCCCCTCCGAACCGCTCAGTCCCAAACCTTCCAGCAGATGAGATGCTGAGGCACTTGCCCGGAGGACAGGGTCACTGCCTGTGCGAAAGGCAGGAGACAAAGGAGGGGGTTGGGTTCGGTCCTGGTCTCCAGGTGATGTTTCTGGGCTTCCTGTGGGCAGAAGGATGAGTGGTTTGGGTGCAGATGGATTGGAGTTACATAATTCCTTTTGATTGGCACACAAATATTCCCTGCCACAAGTGTACATCTGTCTGAATAAATTATAAATTACCTGTCTAAATAAATATTGAATTTTTATGAAATGAAATGCTGGGAATTTCAATATTAAAAACAAGATGTTATGGTGTTATGGTGCCATATAGAATATATGCAACATTTCAGATGTACCTGCTAATCTTTAAAATATATTTACTGTATTTTGGGGAGTATAAGATGCATTTTTCCACGAAACGTCTGTGTGTCTTATACAGTGAATGTTGCCAAAAAAAAAACCCACCCACCAGCCCCCCACCCTTTGACCTCTGCCTCTCAGCAATTTGCCTCCTTGTAGCAAACAGCCTGTTTCAGCTTCAACGCAGCCTGATCTGTCGGTAGGATCGGACGATCAGCTGTTTCAAGCTGCAGGGATTGCCATGGCCACCTCTGTGTGCCCCATTTTCAGCCTCTGCACCCCATTTTGGCCTTTGCACCCCGTTTTTGGCCTCCACACACCCCATTTCCCTCCTATTCCAATCCCCACCACCCAGTGTGCAGAGGCCAAAAACGGGGTGTGCGGAGGCCAAAATGGGGTGCATGGAGGTAGCAATAGGCTATGCCAATCCCTGCAGTCTGAAACAGCTAATCATTGGGAGGCCGATCCACCCAACAATCAGCTGCTTGTGCTAATCAGGGTGTGCTGAAGCTGAAACAGGCTGTTTGCTGCAAAGAGGCAAATTGATGGGAGGCAGAGACAGATTTTTCTTGTTTTCCTCCCCCAAAGCAAGGTGTGTCTTATACTTCAGAACATCTTATACTCTGAAAAATATGGTAGTTCATCAACTGAATGAAGAGGGTACAGGAGAATTTCATCTGAAAATAAGGATCAATTGATTAACCGCATTGATCACTGATTATGGTAGATAAACTCCTAATGAAGAAAACGCTTGTAAAAACATTTGATTACCCCAAGTTTAGATCATCATTCCCTAATCAAGAAAAGGCACATATTCAAGATGATGTTATTGCAATTAAGTCCCAATACCATCAAGATTTGTTCAACGGGATACTTGGCCAGGTAGCCCTGGTCAAAACTGATTAACACCTATAGCCAGCAGCTGCTGCCATTCAATGTCACCAACAAAAGCTACCCAGTGTTAAAGGCCATGGATTCTATCAGAGCCTTAAGGAAGGAAAACCATGTGGTGTACAAGGCCTGGCATAAACTGAGGAAGAGCAATGGTTTTAATTATATCCTGACAGTCTACTGTGGGCTCTGATGTCATACAAACCATCAAGCTATTATTTCTGGTTTCATGCCATGTTTGTCAGTAAATGCAAAATGCATGGTCTATAAACTGATATAGCCTCAGATGGAAAATCTAACACATTTTGGCATGATATCACAATGTAGCCATCACCTGCAAGCATCGTGAGACATTAAATGCTTTCCTGTAAAATATACATCAGTCTAAAGATGTTGGAGGGGGCAACTGACAAAAACATTGGTTGTGACATCACAATGCAAACCCTGTAAGTTATATACTTGTGACTGATGTCATGATGCATAGATGAAAAAACAGGGGTGCACTGTGATGTCACAACATGTTTTATTATTTTTTCATGCTTTTACACAAAGCACTAAGAGTCAAACTGCTCAGTTTTGTCTATAACTAGAAACACGTTTTTCATTAAATGGCAATTAAATATTTTCAGGAGAAAGGAATCACATTCTATATTTTACCTTCTACATCCTACAGAGAAGTTTAGCTATACCAACTTCTGTACCTTTTCTTTGACTCCCAGACAACTGTGTTGCTCTTAGTCCCCTGCTTTTCTGCACGATTTAACTGATATCAGGGAAAATACAGGATGAGTTGGATAATCCTGCAAAGCTGAAGAATCTCTCCTTCCATTAAGGGGACTTGGGGAAAATATATTAACCTGCATAGTATTGTATTGCATTACATTGCAGATAAAGCAGTAGAGGAACCATATTCCTTTTACCATTTGTAGACTGAAGTTGCTTTATTGCCAACCTGCCCATATGGAGTCTTCCATATACCCACCAGTCAATAGGTTGCTGTCTGATTGGGCACCATGCAATGAAGGTCTCTGGCCCAGCTGATCTAGGCTACTGGGGTCACTTCCACTTCGATCTTTTGTTCTGAGAGAGGGAAAAACCGAGATACTGAACTAAGTGATCCATTCTTCCCCACAAACCCCATTTCTCAAAAACTTCCAGAAAAGCTAATTGACATTGGGGACTTTCATGATCTGACCACCACATGTTTTTTCACTGGTAAGGCTTTCCACATTTTGAGGCACAGATTGTGATAAAGATCTTGCACGACAAATCTGAGCAAGACCCAGGGAATTGGCCATAATTACTTAAAAGTGTGCCTCAAGTGTGCCCACCCACTTCTAAGTGGGTCTATTTGAAAGCACAATTTAGGAGGAGTACCATATCATATTCTCTGACACACTGCCAAGGATGGCCACCAACCACCCCCACCCCCCATGTTTCACCATGGAGCCAGGTTCCTCACCGGAGCAAGTTTCCGTCTCCTATTTGTTCTCCAGCTGTGGCAGAACGAAAACTGAACCGTCGAAGAGGTGCTTCTTCCTCCTTCAATGCACCAGGAGGCCTCCCAGTGTCACTGAAACGCTCCTTCAGACAGCGAAGTGGTACATTCCTGTTGACTGGTCGAGACACCACAGCTCCCGAAATATCTGAGATGATCTTCCGGTTGCCCACATAAAAGCGCACCAGGGCAGGTACATTATCAAACTGCTCCTGTTCAAATTGGAAAAGGGTGCGAGAATAGCCCTTTCGGGGACGAAGTACCACACGAATTATCTTGAAGTGCAGGGCCTGTCCTCCCCAGTGGCATGACAAGACATAATCACCCAGGCTAGAGCGTGAATCGCGGATCAAGAACTCCCCATCATTCTGCAACATAGATTCTGCCTCCTGAGAGAGAGGGGAGAGGGAGAGAGAGGTCAAGAGAGAAGGAAGGTCTGTCTTTGTTTAAGGAGCAGGCCAACAAAACAGAGTATTAGAACAATCTCAAGATGGTTAAATACATGAACAAGACAAGGAGACACTAGAAGGTTACAGAGAACCAATGAGCATTGCCTGACCCATCACAGAACTTCTGACAGGTATTTCATTCTCCCTTCCAGGTCAGGAGCAACTTCTGTTACTGTGATAAGAACAGCTGGTTTAATGAAGAAGTTCAGATAAAAGGGGACAAACTCTGCCCTGTTCTGAATTTGAGAAATCCTTAGATTCATTGAGCCAAGCGGATATAAACTCAGGGTGTTCTTTAAAGAAAACTTTGATAGGCTTGGTGCTGTTATGGCTGATAGTCAACCAGATGTTTAGACTGGATTTGGCATTTTTATTCACCGACTGAGTCTTTCTCAAGGACTTGGATAGGCAAATGTTGCTGTTAAAATATTAAAAAGTATCACAGAATGCAAGCTATTAAAAATAAAGCTGCCATTTGCAAGTGACAGATGGTGATTTTGTCAATGCTACTGATATTCAAGTGGTATTCTAGATGTTTTGGAATTGCATCCAAGGTGCCTATTACTATTACTGCTTATTACTTATGGTTGGTGATGGTCTGCCAGATGTTTACACTGGATTTGGCATTTTGCCGATCTGCTGAACCCTTCCCAAATAGTATTGGTACTATCTTTGCTTTTTTTTTTTCTGCCAGTCATTCTATCTTTATTTGCAGGTATTTTTATGTTGTGATTTTCTCCATTCTTTCTCTTCTATTCTTCTGTCTCCAAGTACTGCCACGGCTACTCTGCAAGAGGTTTTTTTTGTTATTATTGTTGTTGTGAATCCCAGCAACACTAGGCTTCTACAGGAATTTTTTAAAAAGCTAGCCTGGAAAATTAGTATTCTCTCCTGTATGTTTGGAAGATCTGAAATGTTTTGATCAACACCTCATTCTTGTTCTTGGCTTTCTGGGAAACCGAACTCTTTTTCTAAGCCAGGTATGTTCAGCAATCTAAGAGCTGTTCTTCAGATTATAATGGTTCTTTATACTTGTTTTATCTGGAACTGAACCTTCTTGTTGTTTTTCAGGTTCCAAAATCAAGGAAATCCTTGTTTATTGCTGATTTCGTTCAGGAGGATGTTATTATGATAGAAAAACCATATAACTAAGCCTAGTAGTAATGGGGCACATAAGAGACTAGGCTTCAATGAGGATAGTCTTGATATAGAAGTATTAACATTCTGTTGATGAGATATATATATATCTTGCTAATGATGTTACAGCAGTGTGATCTCTATCATCCCCATCTCGTGCCTCTATTCCTTTCCCTTAGCTAGCTTCCACTCCTAGTCTCTGTTTTCTAAGTCAGATGCCAAGGGAAATAAGCATGAGTGACTTCCTGGTGCAGGAGTAACTTTTTCATGGGTACAAGCTGACAGATGCTTTTCTGATTGGATCTATCGTCCCTGGATAAACCAGGAAATCTTTTTATGTTTTGCTTTCTCATTTGGCACTATGACAGAAAATTCTGAATAAGGAGGCCATATGTTACACAAAAACCTGTCCCAAATGAACAGTTGAGTTAACATGCAAAAATATAGTTTTGGGTGTCTAACAATTGAGAGAACAAACTTGTATGCACTTTAAGAAAAAAAATAACAAGCAAAAACACTGTTTCCAAGCAACCACACCAATTGTTTTCCCTTCACTAGGAACTTTGAAAAAAAAAATTCTAATCAAATTTGATCCTGTCCTTCCTCTTTTACCTTATCCATCCATCCTCCATCCAAATGCTGTTTCCCCTCAAATGTTTCTTCTCTTCCCCTCCGTATAGAAAGAGATGTATGTTAATTCTTTATGATTAAATGTTGACTATTACTGCTGAGAAAACTAAACTATAAGAACAAACTATATCACATGGGTACAAAATGCTGGTCTATGACTATAGTAAAGATTTGATTCAGTTTGATTTGGTCATGGGAATGAACTATATCTATCACAACTACCTTATTTTATTATTTAAAATAATTCTATCTGGATTACTTCATTCTGAAAAATACTCATCATATGAAAGATGGGAAAGTTAACTTCTTAATGGCCATTCCCTACTAAAAGCACATTTGCCCAAAGTCAGATAACAGGCAAAGATTGTCATGTTAATCTTACTAAAGACAGTTCCCCATTGTGTAGGAAAGGCACTGCAAGTGCCATTACTATGCTAGCACTTACATTACTATCACTAAATCAGATACTCGTAGCAGAATTCTGCAATTTACCCCAAAAAAGCATATAAAGAAATGTTATAAAAAAACAAAAAGATATTATATAAAGAGAAAAAGTAGTCAAAGCAAGGAACCATTAAGATTACTTTTACACAGAGAAAATACAGAGCAATCTTGGAAATAAATATTTGTTCTGAAAATGGGTATAAATGGCTAAGTAAGAATCCTTCAGCAAAGTTAAATTATACTAAAATGTGACGAAATTATTTATGACTAAACTGACAAAAGAAAAAGCAGAAAAAATGTATGGAGATCTCCATGGGAATAATAGTGATATTTCTAAGAACAAAATTGAAATGAATGCAATAACTGTTAGCATCCAGGAGCCACAGTATAAAAAGGATATAGGTATGTAAACCCCTAGCTTTCTTTTTTCTTTCCATGCTGCAAAATTGATAATTTGGCCTCTTCTTTTGAAAGGGTTGATTTATCTCAATTTGCCCTTTGCCTCTGTAATTACATTTTGCTACTATACTGTTTTTCACTGACTGCATGACAGCTAGTAACCAAGTAACAATTTTTTGCTGCCTTACCTTCCGTGGCAGGCAACCATGGTACCATGCATGGCTGCACAACTGTTCAGTACCAAGTTTCAACTCCTCCTCCAGCTCCTTTCTTAGTCTCTCATTGGCCAATTCCATGTTCTTCAAGAATTAAATCTCCTAGGAAAAAGATCAGCTTATAAACATCATTGGCTATATCCCCAACAAGCACAAAAAAAAGCAGAGAAGAATCCTTATATCCCAATTTTTCTTTGACAGGCAAAGCAAGATTAAACAGTTACATGAGGTAAACAGAACTGATCCCTGGAAAGAGCTGCTGATGCAGTTTGACTCAGTTGAAGTCATCATGGTGTACTGGTTGAAGAAACGGGGCTTACATTTCTGCACAGTCATGAAATTCACTAAATGGCCTTGAAGTGTCACCCAGCCTACTCCACCTCAAGGGATTATTATCAAAGGAAAAAATAGCAGAAGGAATGTTCACCTCAGGAAAGAAAACTATAAATGCTACAAGTATAAATGAGGCATTTCAAATACTTTTAGAGGCAGTATCCATTTTAAAAAGCCAGAAAGCATGTGGAGCAGTTTTTCCCAATCTGTGCCCCACGGATACCAGAATTTTCAGTGGAAGACCCTGAAAAGTACCAGGAATGAAGAAAAACCCTCCACACAACCTGCAGCAGCAGGGCACATATTACCTCAAAATCCAATACAAACACAAGCAAATCCCACAAAAGCAGCATCACATCAAATCGGGGGTCTTATCTCCTGGTAACAAGGAAAGCCCAGAACAGGGCACAGATAGCCACAGGAATGTGAAATGCAGGGCTAAAGGGTCCTGGGTTCAGAATGGAGAATTACAACTAATCAGGCTGAGATAACATGGAATTTTGATTAAAAAAAATAAAGAAATAAAGGATTTGTATAGACTGATCGTGCTGCTTTATTTTAATTGATGCATGGTGTATTAATCTTTAAACTAAAGAAGCCTCAATCTCCACTCATTCTTTCATTTTCAAAAATTAAAACATCACACTGAAGCCTGTAGTTGAAGTTCCTTTGGCTGTTAATGGCTTTCTTGTTACCTCCCTTCCACATTCTTTTTAACCAGAGTGGAGGTGTTACCACCTCCTCTCTTTTAAACTTTTACGGATTATTTGTTATGGACCAACAGGGAGAACATAGAATAGTAAGGTTGGAAGGGACCTTGGAGATCTTCTGCTCAAGGAGACCTTACACCATTTTGGATAAACGGCTGTCCAGTCTCTTCTGGAAAATCTCCAATGATGGCACACCCACAACCTCCAGAGATAAGCTGTTCCACTGATTAACTATTCTTACTGTAAGGAAGTTCTAGGTTGGATCTCTCTTTAAAGATCTTTCGCCCATTTCTTCTTGTCCTGCCCTCAGGTGCTTTGCAGAATAGATCCATCCACTCTTCTCTGTGACAATCCCTCAAACATTGGTTACACTGTTTATTTTTACATTTTATTTTATTTCTATTTGAAATAAAGTCTGTGTTCAGAACCATGTCAGCATTCTGTTCCATCCAGTCTATGTTCTCTCTTAGTTTCTTTATTTTCTCAGAGAGAGTTTTCTCATAAAACTAACATTCAATGACACACCTAAATGTCTTCCACCCATAAGGGATGCCTGGGAAGTTCTGCATAACTTCTACATAACCCTATAGATGCTCCATATATTACACAATTGTTCTATATATAATTATATCCTTAACAATTACAAAGAGATAGCTCTAAATCATAACTCAGGTAACAATCACATTGCTTGATCAATTCCAGAGAGACAAAATGAACAGAATTTTAATATTTCATATAAAGATTCTAACCAGTAAATAAAGTACTGTAGCTTCATTACGACCTATACTGCATGATAACCTACCAAGAAAAGGCCAACATTAGGGAATTATCTGCACGTAAATTTATTTATTTATTATTTGATTTGATTTGTCAATCGCTTACTAGATAATAGATATAAGTATAAACATGAGTAAGAATACAGGAAATAGGTACGAATAAATGGGGACAATAGGACAGGGATGGTAGGCACGATGGTGCACTTATACACGCCTCTTACAGACCTGTTAGGAATGGGGTGAGGTCAATAGTGGGTAGTTTGAGGTTAAAGGAGTGGGGGTTAGAGGATGTAACAACAGAGTCAGGTAGTACATTCCAGGCATTGACCACTCTGTTGCTGAAGTCGTACTTTCTGCAATCAAGTTTGAAGTGGTTTACATTGAGTTTGTATCTTTTGTGTGCTCTTGTATTATTGTGGTTGAAGCTGAAGTAGTCATTGACTGTTAGGACATTGTAGCAGATAATTTTGTGTGCTATGTTTAAGTCTAACCATAGGCGGCGTAGTTCAAGGTTGTCCAAGCCCAAAATCTCAAGCCTGGTGATATAGGGCAGTGGCCCCCAATCTTTTTTGTGCCATGGCCCAAAATGATCCGCGGCCCGGTACCGGCATCAGCATGCATGACAAGGCAAGGTGAGCCGAGCGACCAGCCAGCCAGCCGTCCCCCGCTTCTCCCCGCCACCTTCAACTCCTCCTTTGTACCTTTGTTGATGGGCTTCGCTTCAGGAGGGCTTCAGGATGGTCGCTCAGCTTGCCTTGCCTTGGGTGCTGAAAGAATCCTCGCACCTTAGTTTCGTTCGAAGCCCCCCCGCTTCGATGAAACTAAGGCGCGAGGATTCTTTCAGCAACCAAACACCACTTTCCAACCGGAAAAGCTCACCCGGAAGCACGTTCTCGTCAAACAAGATGGCGGCATCCAGCAAACCGGTGGCCCGGTAGGAAATGTTCCACGGACCGGTACCGGTCCACGGCCCGGTGGTTGGGGACCCCTATTCTGTTGCGAGCAGAAGAGTGTAGTACTCTTCTCGTGAAATACTTCTGGACTCACTTGATTGTATTAATGTCTGATATGCAGTGCGGATTCCAGACTGATGAGCTGTATTCAAGTATTGGTCTGGCAAAAGTTTTGTATGCTCTAGTTAGCAATTTGATATTTCTGGAGGAGAAGCTTCGTAAGGTTAGGTTTACAACTCTTAATGCCTTTTTGGCAATACTGTTACAGTGAGCTCTGGTGCTTAGGTCATTTGATATGAGAACTCCAAGGTCCTTGACAGAGTGAGGATCATCAATGAGGTGATATCCACCTAGATTGTATTCGGTGTACTGATTTTTTTTACCAATGTGTAGGACAGAGCATTTGTTGATCAAGATTTGGAGTTGCCAGATGTTTGACCATTCAGACACATAATCAAGGTTGCTTTGAAGGATAGTAGCATTGTCGGTGGTGTTGAATAGTTTTACGTCATCTGCAAAGAGGACGCAGTTGATTATAAGGTGATCGCAAAGGTCATTTATATAGAGTATAAAGAGTATGGGCCCTAGAACACTGCCATGGAGGACACCGCTGTTAACTGGAGCAGGGTTTGATATAGTGCTCCCTATTTTTACTATTTGTTGCCTGTTTGACAGGAATGCAGTAATCTACTTATGAAGGGATCTGGAAATGCCGTAAGAGTTTAGTTTTAACAGTAGTTTGTCATGTACCACTGAATCAAAGGCTTTGCAGAAGTCTATGTAAATTGAGTCTACAGCTTTACCCTGGTCAAGTAGAGTAGTCCATATGTTTTTGCAGTGTAGGAGTTGTAGGTTGCAGGACAATTTTTTCCTGAAACCAAATTGTTTTTTGGAGAGTAGGTTGTTTGACTCTAAGTGGAGGATGATGAATTGGTTAATGATTGATTCCATGACATTGCACATGACACAACACAGTGAGATTGGTCTGTAGTTTTCAACCAGGCTGAGGTCACCTTTTTTGAAGATAGGGATGGCCGTAGCTAAGGACCATAGGTTTGGTAAGGAGCTGGTTCTGAATGATATCTCATATAAAATGCTTAGGGGTTCAGCACAGGAGAGTTTTTTTAAGAAGTATGCACATAATCCATCGGGGTCAATAGATGATATGAATTAAATATTATTATTTAATAATGTTAATATTATATAATATTATTATATAATATTATTATTTAATATTAATATGAAGACATGCTTCTGCTCTCCCCAAGTTCATGGACTGAATAAGAATGTACAGTGACTAATTGTGGACAAGTATGACTTCAAAATAATTGGCCTCTAATTATTTTTATTATCGCTTCTTATGGGGGAAACAGTTGATATTCTACTTGCTGTTCTGAAAATGAGCAGAATTCCATTTAACTTGTATGGCATACAAGCGGATGGCATATGCAAGTTATATAGACCTTCCTGAATCACCTTTATGCAACAGGGAAAGTGGCAGTGCAACTTACGTTGTGTGCTCAATTGTACTTCCAGCATTTCACTGGAGTTTAGAGTATAGAAGTGGATTCCTGGATTGCCACCATGCTCTTGAGCAGCGTTACAGAACTTGCCCTGCAGGAACAAGTTAATAGTGCCCACCTAGGACAAAATTAACTATTAACAGTGGGAGAAAGACATGGAAAATAAAGCTATTAAGTTTCCAAATTGCATTTTACGTACATGAAGAAATACTAATACGCTACCAATTCTCCTTTCCAAACAAGCCAGCTGAGATTTTTCAGTTAAATTGTCTCCCATCTTGAAATGTACTACCATCGTTAACAGCACTATTTTTCAGTGCTGTTCTAAAAAATGAAGTAGTTCTATCAAAAGCTGAGCCATCAGAGCAATCTAAAGGAATCTTTTTCAAGAGTTTGCCAAACATATCTGGCTGCCAGAACATTCTAGCTAGCTACTGATACAGCTATTTTCACCAATATTCAAGGATAAATTAGATTTCATCTTCAATTTGCTTCATGCTAGATGTGCACACAAAGAAGAAACATCTATTTCAAAAATAACAAATGAAAAAGCTGAAAAATATCACTCCAAGGAAAGGGGCACAGGTGAGTTGGTAATATTATGGATAACCAGCCTGGTACAAAGCTATCTTCTGTCTGAGTTCAGAGAAATCTATTTTTTCCTGAGTTCAGAGGTGGGGAGGAGAACTTATACCAGAGGACAACATACCGTAATTCTCTCAGCAGGTTCAAAGGTACATAGAAATCCAACAATTAAATCTAAGAATTTGCTTAGAGAACATAAATTGAATTCAGAAAGTAGGCTGCTTTCTAACAGGGGTGGGGTAAAATATTAAAAATAAAACAAACAACAGGTGCTGCTTAATTTGTTGTAGAAAAAAAATACCAACTCCAGAAGTATCCTTTAGTATTTCAGGAACATTGACCATTTTGCACAGGAAAAAAAAAACTACCAGCCTCTAACCCAGCCTGTGCTTCTGAACAATTGGTGGAAAATTGTTCCTTTTGAAAAAAAACTGGAAAGGCTATGACAAGATTCAGGCTAAACACTTAATAGAGGAGGAAATAGTGTCAAATAAATGATGAGTCAAGGCGGGAAAAGCAAGATTTTCTAAACTGTCCAAACTGCAAGAGAGCTTAGCATGTTTTTAAAATGCCTTTAAAAGACACACCAATTGATCCACTTAGAAAGGAAAAAAGCAGGAAGCTTGCAATAGAGACAATCTAGGAAGAGTTAATGATTTGGTTGCAATATCGATTCATGAAAAAGATTGTGGATTAGATCCTTCCTTTTTAATCTGTTCTGCAAAACTGGCCCAACTAATCTGAACTCAACTTGTCTAAGAAAATGCTGGATGGGTTGAGTTCCAACTGACTGATTGATTGTTCTCCCCCAATTTACTTATTTTGTTCAACAAGATAAAAGTAGGAGACAACATTAATACCATTAATGCTTTCAATCTTCCTAAAACTTGGTTCTCATCCAGAAGAGAGATTTCACGAAATTTATCACTGATAAGTAGTTATAATTTTAACAAATCCATTTTATAATTCCAAACTCACCCATACGGGATATACCTCACTGATGCAGAACTAATTATGTTTATCCCAAGCTATTTGATAGTTACTCTAATAGCTCCACCAGCCGGAACTAACAGAGAGAAACGGATGAGCTATACAATAGAAAGGAAATGGTTTATGTGACTCTCTTCCCCAGGTTTGAACACTGTTCCCAACATAAGAGCAAAATCAACAAATATATAGAAAAGACATAATCTAGAGGATTTAAATGAGCTCAACCCTTGGAAGCAGCACCATTTAGGGATAGATGACAAATACTCACATATATATTGTTTCAAGCCATATTTATCTCTTCCTGAGAAGCACTTGCAGAATACAGAAAATAGAGTTGGAAGGGACCTTGCAAGGACTTCTAGTCCAAGCCCCTGCTCAAGCAGGAGAGCCTATACTTAAAATAGTTATTTTGCTAAACTATATAATTGGAATAGTTTTCTCTTGAAACCAGTGAGTTTCTCTCCTAACCTAGCACCTTCAATTGAATCTTGAAGAGTAGGCCCCTGGATTATTTGTGTGTGTTTCTCTTCATCATGAAACAGCAATCCAAAGAAGAGAGCAATTTTATTTTTTTTGTCTTCTGAGGATTTGACTCCCTCATTCTCAAAAGTGTTTGATACAGAAAGGATTTATTGCCTAAAGGCAATGGGGAAAAATCCATATATTGCTCAATTGCAGCTATGTCTCTACTTTTGAATTTTTGCTCTGCACATCAAGAAACTTCTGCTCACCACATGAAAGACTTGACTCTTCCACTCTTGGTGCTCCTCATATTTGGAACTGCTTCACAGAACATCTCACTGATGCTTATCACCCTTACTTCTTCCAAACTCCTTCTCTAGCACGTCTTTCCCATGAACATTTTCATCTTCCCCCTGAACACACTCTGGTTAAAGTCCATTCTCAACCACAGAAATCCAATTGATCGTTTTGGGACAATTGTACACTTTCAGCCTATTCTACCTCACAGAGATATGGCTACAGAGATAAAACAGAGACCACCTTGGAAGCCACCTTGCGTTCCTATGAAAAAAGTCAGGATAGAAATCTAATGCAGAAATAAATTGGGACTTTACAACTAAGTCTGAGCATAGCTGAACATAATGTATATTCTTCATTATTTGGTCTTTCCCAATTTCTGTCCCCTTTCATTCTTAGAGCCCAATTTTACAGAATAAAAGAACAGAGGTGGAAGGGACCTTGGAGGTCTTCTAGTCCAACCTCCTGTACCATTCTAAACATATGGCTTTCCAATCTCTTCTTGAAAGCATCCAGTGATGAAACACCCACAAGTTCTGCAGGTGAGCTGTTTCACTGATTAATTGTTCTAACTCTCTGGAAATTTATCCTTAATTCTAGGTTGGGTATCTATTTGTTAAGCTTCCATCTGTAAACGTCTTGTCTTGCTTTGGAGAATAGGTTGACCTCCTCTTCTCTGTGACAGCCTCCAAAACATTGGAAGACTGCTCTCGTGTCACCCCAGTTGAGTGTCATGTCACACTCATTTGATGAGTTCCCCTTCTATTCCCTCATCTAGATCATTTATGAAGAAATTGAAGAGTACAGATAATCCTCGACTTACAACGGTTTGCTTAGTGGCTGTTCGAAGTTACAACAGCACTGAAGATAATGACTTATGATTGTTTTTTACTCTTAAGACATGATTACGTGATTCGCTTTTGTGACCATCTGAGGAAGCAAAGCCAGTGGGGAAACCAGATTTATTTAGCAATGGTGTTACTAACTTAACTGCAGTGATTCATTTAACAACTGTGGCAAGAAAGGTCATAAAATGGGAGAAAGTTCATTTAACATCTATCTCACTTAGCAACATAAATTTTGGGCTCCAATATATATCCAGTACATAGTTAAGGGTCCATCAAAGGGTACTTGGGCATTTTCTAAACTTGGCATGAATAATTCCTCTCATCTGATTAATCTGTGGGAACATAAAAAAAAGCCACTTCCCAGCTTTGTAATGAACTCAGTTCTTCCAGAGTTAAATCAAGGCATTGCAGTGATTTGGTGAAGTTTCCACACACTCTCTGTCATTTCACTAAGTTGAATCATCTTCCAACCGACTAGTGAGGTAGTCCTTCCTAGAATTTGCTTCTAGCTTCTTCAGACCACAACATCATTCACTCAGACTCCGGTTTGCTTCTAGAAAGAAGAAGCCACTATAAATTTAAAACCTGCCCAGAGGTTACAATTGAGACCAGGCAAAGTCAGCTATACATGCCCAGGACAAATGCAGGCATGGACTTTTTACACATGAAAGAACTCAGTCAAACGTGGTTTCACAGGGAGGAGAGCTCAGCCAAAGATGAAGAAAGGGAGGAGGAGGGCTTGCGCCTTAAAGCTCTTATTGCACACTTTGTGTGTGGCAATCTCTGAATCTCAAAAGTTACACTGACTTCTATACATTCACATATATTTACAAGTATACATTTTATTTATTGTAATACATACTTCAGTCCCCATTTCTTTTTAAATCCCCACATTTTATCTTCATAATAACAATGTTAAATTGATGTTGCAGAGTTTAAATCTAGATGGGGAAAGAACAGCCTATCTCACAGAGAGATTATGATTAAGCCCCCTCCAATATCTGAAAATGCTCCTCCCATTTTATTTGTATCCCACTTTTATTATTTTAACAAATAAGGCAGTGAACATAGCTAATATTACTCCTTCCATTTTCCTCACAATAACCCTATGAGGTGGGTTGGGCTGAGAAAGACTGATGGGCCTAAGGTCACCCAGCTGGCTTCCATGGCTAAACTAGAACTCACCCTGTAGCCTGATTTTTAGCCCAGTGCCTTAACAACAGGCCAAAACTAGCTCTTAAAGTGCTTTTATTACATTTGTTATCTGAATGTTGTTCAATAAACCTTTTTCCAGAATGATTTATGCCATATTTAGGTCTGATATTTGCCCTTACCATATTCACTCAGGCTAAGAATATTTACACATTGCATCCATCCATACTGGCTTGAGAAGACATACCACTAACAAAGAATAGCTTACTTCTCAATTACTTTCTGGATTACTAACATGTTACAACAATAAAAAACATACTTAAACCGAACATGTCAAAAACAATACATCAGAAACTCTCGTTCCCCTATCTACCTAACTGGAAAGTGGAAGAACACAGCTGCATCTGCCAGATGCCAAGAACACAATGTTGCAAAAAAAGAGGGGGGCGTAGAGGTAAGCCCCATAATAGGGCTAGCAGGTGTGGGAATCCTCTGCCTTACTCCTCACGGGAAGATCGGTGCATTCTCAGTCTAAACCCGGATAGCCATTCTGAAAGCGCAGGTTCAGGTGAACAAGACCTCCTGCACCTAAGGAATAACAAGTAGTAGGCACGTACTGTACCTTTTTCCGCTGAGTTAAGGAGGAAATGTGGAAATTATGTCGAAAGAGAAGACAGCAAGGCACGTCCTCAGGCAACCGTCGAGAAAAGACGGCGGAAAAGGTGCGCCCGAAAGGAGAAAAAAAAAAAAAACCGCCCGCCCCGCCAGGAGAGGCAGGACTGAGGTTGGAGGGCCCTCCCACGCGTTCTCGACTTCACGCCGGCATTAATCCCCTCTGGGGCAAAAGCAAACCCTGACCCTCCGCCACACGCACCTAAGCCCAGATGCAGCCAGAGGTCACCGGCTACCTTTAGGTGCGACCCGCCACGCAGCTGGGGCGGAACCTGCCTGCCTCCTCCCCCCCAACCCCCCTGCGGTTCTCCACCAGTCAGGATCCCCGCCCTTCCCCGCTTCGCGCATTCCTCCGCTATCTGTACCGACCCCGCCTCAAGCGTGGCTCCTGCCACTCACCAGCCGATTTGAAGTTTCTGGCGCCGCTGCGCACGCCTCGTGTGGAGAAAACCTGCGCGACTGGGAGAGGGAAACTTGCGGTCCGGCCCTCGAGGGGAGGAGTAGCAGCCGCGCTGATTCCCTTCAAGGCAGCACCTTTTCAGCGTCCCTCCGGAGAAAATGGCAACAGCCTAGCTGTTCTACCCCACCTCCCTGAAAGCGTTTTCTAAAATCATTTTTACGTTTACAGAAGTGAGGTCTGACGTCTGGTGTGTTTGTCTTTCTTCTTCTGCAGCCTAAAAAATTATCAGGACAAGTCAACTTAAATCTGAGCGTGAACCATCTACTTAAGACTCTCGTGGTTTTAGATCAAAATTAGTGGGGCTGAGGGTAAATTAAGGGTTCTCTTTTATTTCCAGCTCTTTTCAGGCAAACCTAACTTTACCTTGTGAGGAAATGGATGGGAAATACTTTTGAAAAGTGAACTTATATGCATAATTTCCAGACTTCTTAAACACACAGAGGATTCTCCAAGGAAGACAAGTGTGTTTGTTTATCACAGTGGTTCCATTTAAGTATATACAACATCCCAGCTGGGGCTTTCTTCCATAGTTCTGATGACAGAAATGTACAGAGGCTTACTCTGAAGTAACACACACTGGATTTTTCAGAGTTTATGCCATAATGAGTGAACTTCTATTGACAGCTTTAAAAATGGGTTTGGAATTGTTTTTATTTGCAGCCAGTGCTAACAGATGCTATCAGGCTTTCATGTGCGGAATATTGTCAGCACACAGTTTATTTGTCGCAGTTCATCCCTGTCAGAAGGAAATTTCTATGAATTATTTTTCAAATCTGTAAGAACTACACATGCTTGATTGAGCTAAACTCAATAAAAATGATTAGAAATATGACATCTATTATATTGTATAGTATATTATATAATATATAAATATATTGACTGGAATTTTAAAAAAACTGTATACTTTTAAACTTACATCTCGATATAAAAGGAAATTTCCTACAGCTCATATCTGGTAAGACAGAAATGCAAAAGACTTGATAGAGCAAAGGAGGAGGACATGGGAGTCAACTTCGTACTTCACAGAAAAAAGCCAAAAAAGTTCCCTAGGGGTCCAGTCAAAGTAGAGTATCAGCCAGCCATGTTGTCATAGCCATCCCCTTTTGAACTGGCAGGCTGTTCTTACTGATGTCATTTGGTGGATCAGGATGTACTGATGTCCTGCCTGTGACCTCTCAGAAGTCTCTGGCTGGCCCAGATGGGAGTTAAATGCTGCATTAAACAGCAGGAATCTGGTTATGCTCAGGTCACCTAACATATTCTCACAACACTCGCTGTGATTTGTAATATTGATTCACTCTGCTTCCTCTTCATTTTCTTCTCCCCTATGCTGACAACTGATGGTGATGACTCAGTTTTGGAGAATGTTAGTCTGGGTATTTTAGGGAGGGAAATCATTTATCAAAAATTGTCATGGAGATTGCTGTAATTCTTGCCAAAAATTTAGAGGGCAGAGGACTACACTGATGGATAACTTTATAAGGATTTCTTAAAAGCCAGTATTATTTTGAACTCACCCAATAAATGTTCAAATGTTCCCATTAAATGTTACCAGTTCTAGTATTTGATAAATATTCACATGAAATGTATAACCAAGACCTTATTTTTAGAAGAAAAACTCCAATCAGAAGTGCAGACTAGTTAGAATTCTGCCCTTTAAGTTTTCTTTTAAAAAAATACACATTTGAAAAATAGTTAGAATTAAATTCAGCCCTTGGAACCCATCCTGAATACTGTTTTCTCAAAGTACAACTTTTCTCAAAGTACTGTTTTCTCAAAGTACAACTTTTTTGTTGAACTGTGCCATCCAGCACACAAAATTTGGTTTTAAATGCACATGTATGACTTTATCTTAACTGGATTAAAGAGTCTATGTAAAAACTGTATGACATTTCCCAACTTAAATGGAAACTGAAAAGACGGTAAGGGTTGGATCAGAATTATACTATAAGACCCCTTCCAGACCTGCCCTTCTGAACTTAGTTTTCCAGTACTAACAAGATAATAAGATTGAATGCCTTGTCTTTCTATAACTGGCAAAGGGTAGCTGATTCCCAAGACTGCGTTTTATGACCCAAGAAATTGTAGAAAGTGAAAGGAGATGTTGAACTCTACTAAATGAGGGGAAATAATGATCCAGGTTGGTAGACACAAAAAGGCAATGGCTACTCAGACTAAACTTCCTAATCCTGAGTAAGGTCATTAATAGACACATATGATTTGAATTTTGACCTTGAACAAAATTTGGCTAGAGTAGGACAGTTTGGAACCCAGGTTTTGTTAGTGATACTTTAACCTTGGATTCCTTTTTTTTTTACATATAAATTTTTTATTTTTATATTTTAAAAAACATCTCCTTAGGTGAAACAATATGGTTCCAGGTTTTTACATTTTAGTATAAACATGACCATGATACATATTCAGCTTTCATATCCAATTCATATTATTGCTTATTCCATATTTCTTTAAATATTTTCATGCATTGTTATGTTCATTACACTCATTTTATCCAATTTCAATTCATATTATAGCTTATTTAATTTTTCTTTGAATATTCTCATACCTTATTTTGCAATATTATCTAAATTCTTGTTCCATTTCTATATTCATTACACACATTTTCTTACATCCATCACATTTGCAAGTTTATCACATACTACAGTATTATTCCATTCATTGTTCAATAAAATTAATCCTAATTCTTATTATCCAAAGATTATCCCCTTTCATTGTCAGCTCAAGCTTGCCACCCCTTTACCTTATACATTTCCCCAAATTTACCACAATATAGTCATTTTTTAATCACCACATTCTACATTAATAATCCCTTAACCTACTATATATCATACACACACACACACACACATATGTAAATCAGATTCCACATGGTATTCCCTTTTCTCAATTACATTCTAAGTCATATATTTATTCCAAAAGTATTTATTTATTTATTTATTTTGTCAAATGCTTACAATATAATAGAAATAAGAATAAACTTAAGTTTAAATATAAGAAATAGAACTAATAATTGGGGACAATAGGACAGGGGCGGTAAGCATGATTGTGCACTTCTGCACGCCCCTAACAGATTTCTTAGGAATGGGGTGAGGTCAATAGAAATTAGTTTGAAGGTAAAGGAGTGGGGATTTGATCAGAATCAGGTAGTGAGTTCCAGACATTGCCCACTCTGTTGCTGAAATCTTACTTCCTGCAATCAAGTTTGGAGTGGTTTACATTAAGTTTATATTTATTGTGTGCTCTTGTGTTGTTGTGGTTAAAACTGAAATATTCATTAAATGGTAAGATGTAACATGATTTTATGTACTATGCTTGTCCAATCTTAGTTGGTGTAGTTCAAGGTTGTCTAAGCCTAGAATCTCAAGTCTGGTGGTGTAGGGTATTCCATTGCAAACAGAGGAATGTAGTACTCTTCTCATAAAATACTTCGAGAGTCTCGCTCAATTGTATCTATGTCTGATATACAGTGTGGATTCCAGACAGCAGGGCTTTATTCAAGTATTGGTCTAGCAAAGGTTTTGAAAGCCCTAGTTTGCAAATCAGTATTACAAGAGGAGAAGCTTCGTAAAATTAGATTTACAACTCTTAAAACCTTTTTGGCAATACTGTTGCAGTGAGTTTTGGTGCTTAGGTCATTCAATATGAGAACTCCAAGGTCCTTGACAGAGTGAGGGTCATCAACAAGGTCATATCCGCCTAGCTTGTATTTGGTGTATTGATTTTTTTTACCAATGTGCAGGATAGAGCATTTGTTGGTCGAGATTTGGAGTTGCTAACTGTCAGACCATTCAGACACTTAATCAAGGTTGTTGGTTTTTTTAAAAAAATTTATTGGCTTTTAAAACAAACATAAACAAACAAAACATAAAAACATCAAGTCATCTTCCATATATATACATACAGTGTGCCGGTTGGTTTACAAATTGTTTTGTGCTTCCATTTCATAGTCTTCAATTATAATTACATTGTATATAATCTCGTATTTTCAATCAATATTTAATACATTAATATCATTATTAATCAATCATTTGACTGTACTTTTATTCATTCATGTTTTACAAAATGATCATATTTTATTTAATTTGTTTTATGACAATTCATATTATCATCCCAGATCTATCCTAGAATCATTTTGTAGATATAATAAGAAAAGAATACATCTTTATATATTTATTATTTTCTAAAAGTCTACATATTTCATTACTATATTTTATTGTCCAACTATTGATAAAAAAGATCCCAAATTTTATAAAATTGTTTATCATCTTGTTCTCTAATTTCAAATGTCAATCTACTCATTTCAGCACATTCCAATATTTTCTTAATTATTTCCTCCTGTGATGGTATTTTCTCATTTTTCCAGTTTTTGGCAAATACAATCCTAGCCGCTGTTAATACATTTACAACCAGGTATTTCAAGTCTTTACTATATATTTCAGGTAAAATTCCCAATAAAAATATCTCTGTTTTCAAGTCTATATGTTTTTTTGTCATTTTTTCCAACCACGTATGGATTTTAGTCTGGTATTTTTTAGCATCCGCACAAGTCCACCACATATGGTAATATGAGCCAGGTGTCCGATGACATTTCCAACATTTTTCGGATTTGTTCTTGAACATTCTTGCTATTCTTGTCAGGGGAAAATGCCACCTGTAAAATATCTTATACAAATTTTCTTTATATGCTGTTGACATTGTCATTTTATAATTTTGAGACCACAATTTTTGCCATTTCTCTAAATCAGTCCCATATCCAAAATTCTTCCTCCAAGCAATCATAAT